CATAACGTGTAATAGAGTTCTGTTTGATTTTTATTTGGTTTCATTGTCAGCTATTGCATGCTTTTTTTTTTAAATAGCTGATGCTTTACAAAACCTTCCATACTATATTAAACATTAAACAGGGTATACTGTGTTAGATTTGAAAATTTTTATTGTTTCTTCAGAAACTCAACAATTGCCTCAATGACTACTGTATTTTTCATCCTGTCTTATTGTATAATTGCAATCTGTTGATTTGAAATATAATAATTTAACAGTCAGTGTGTAAAGAAAATTCATTCTTTAGTTTTATCACGAACAATGTTTTTCAAAATAATCTTATAATTAAACACAACCAATTCAAAAAAATATTCTGTTTTAAGTTAATAGTTCACCATAAAATTACATGCATTGAAATATCAGGAAGTTATAATAATGAAGATATTGACACTTTCGGAAAACAGGAAAGTTTTCTGAAGTGTATTTATTTCTTTAGTGATGTATAAGTCAATGCTACTTAGCTTGTATAATATTACATTACTGTCTATTTTGACTGGCACCAGTAGACTAGCAGATAAGATAGCTGAACACTGGATGTTTGATCCAGGTACAAATACTGGTGAATGGGATAGCTGCATGGGAATTTTCCTGTTTCTCCTCATGTATTATGTGAATACAAGTCAATTTCTCATAGAAATACCTTCTCAAAGGCATCCCTTTACCTAAGGTACATAGCTCTTACTGTACGTTACCTTGCTTTGTGTAACTTAGCATAGCCATCAACACCTTAATAATTTTAATACAAAATGACAAAATTTTTTTTGCTACCATATTACCACAACAAATTTCGCAGGATGCACCAAACTGTGTCAACCATGTGTATGTGCATATAACAATTCTTCAGTTTTTAATAAGCAGCATCACCATTTTTGTATGTTTTTTTCCTTTTTTTGTGTGTGTATTTGTCCAAGTTACAATGATTTTTATAACTCATTTTTATTTTTATAACAAATCATTTATAAACAAATCATACTTTTTTAAATGTGAAATTAATTTTAAAATATGCACTTGTGGAATTTGTCTGCAATGGATGAAATAGTAGTATGAATAAAATTCTGAAAAAATAAAGCTGTATCAAATTATACAGTTATAAGTTACAGAAGAATGGAATTTGCTATGTTAGTTGAATTTAAATTACCCAGGAATCTTTCTCCCTTCGCTGTTGCTATACCACCAAAAGAAAACCAATTATGAACAGCATCCTGCAAACAAAAACTTGCTTGTAACAAGGTTTATTGATTGATTGGTACAGACTTTAATGGCATATTTGTTACCAAATGAATCTAAAGCAAACCAGTATGAAGGGTAGTTTTACAGGTTAACTTGTTTTCAAATTAGCAACTCTGTAAAAGGGATCATCTAGCTGTACTGACACTGCATGTTCTTTCTCATATCTAGTTATTTGGTTGTAACAGGCAATTAAGATAAAAACACTTTTAACACTGCTTAATTTTTATGTATGGTAGCCCAGTTACATGACTACAACATTTTTCCACTACTTTTTTTACACTGTAAACTTGGTTTAGAAAGTTATTTACCAAGATTTTGGGATGTTGTATAGAAATATCATATGGAACAACTACAGTCAAATGTATTGTTTCAGAAGAGAGTATATCCTCTTACTGAATCTTTTCCTGCACTTATTGTTTGATTTAATATTTCCAGTATAGTGGAATGACCATCATGAAACATAGCGTCCTGTAGCTCTTTTATATAATTCCATTCAGATATTCACACTTTTATTTTTTTTTGTAAGTTAATGCAGAAGACAATACATATTTACATCTATTTCTGATACTTCCAATTTTAAGGAATAATCATGGAGTCTATACTGTTACATAGAAGATGCTAAAAAAATACTTAACAGGGAGTTTAACATTATTCATGCAACAAAGGAGCTGAGGTTTATTGCATTTTTAACAATATGTTTAAAACTCATACAAGCATTTATTTCTTTTATTATAGATGTAAATCAATGACCAGTTCCTAAAGTATTGAAAGATAAAAGTCAAGGAAAAATTCTCGTCATATGCCAAGCAACTCATCGACTTATCGCCTGCGCCGCAAATGGAAAAGTACCAAAAATGTAGTAGAAAGTCGATTTGTGTCAAAATACCTATGTTAGAATAGTGCTATATGTAAATCTAATATATATCCTAAGTCGCGCTTTCGAGGCATGAAAAACGCAACTTTAATTTCGTCAATCGGCCCATTAGAACAGGAGATATAGAACTGTCCTCTTTTTTTTCTTTCTTTTTTTCTTTTCTTTTCTTTCTTTTCTTTCTTTCTCTCTCTCTTTCTTCGTCTTTTTTTTTTTTTTCGCAGTGTGCACCATATGGATGTACTCGAATTTAGTGATATGCTTTTACGAAATCAATATGTGACTGAATATTTATTTACCATGAACTTCTGAAGTAAAATCAGGTTATGCAGGGAATACGATATTTCTCTTTGACATTCTGTGCATTAAGAGAGGGATAGTTGCCAACAGATCTCCATTCAACAGACCCTTTTTTTGGATACCATATGCAAAGGCGAAGAATAGGGGCTTAGTGAAGGTCTCATATGACCGAGTTGAATCATGCGCTGAAATTCAGCTTTAGTAGTTTTGAGGAAGTGAGGGGCTAATCATCTAGGTTTAGCAGCAACTGGAGGATATTCAGTATGTATATAATGCACAGTGTTGTGTTTTACAGGTGGTCGAATCGGATAATTTAGTAATATCAGGATATTGTAACAACAATTTACCAAATATATTATTTACATAAGCTGATTTTGCAGAAAAAATATTACAGCCATTTAATTTGGCAGGTACTTTAAAATTTGTTGTTAAATCAATCAGGAGATAAATTGAAGAAATATAAAAAATCGGCACTTATGATGGAGCATGTATAATATAAAAAGAGAAGTAAAATTGCGTGTTAAAACCAAAATTGATGACCATATAAACATTAATGGATGTTCCACTGGCAGCACCAAAAGTTTGGAGTATTGGTGCCTTCAGTTCAGATTTATTGGCGGCAATTAAACAGGCATTATCTCCTGCATCTATGACAATACACCTATCTGTAGATAAATGTGTAATAAAGAACTGTCGCGATGTGTAAAAAATGAAAGAGTCAGTCGCCTTTATTCCTCCTTCGTCAAGTTTCCCTCGTAGAAATAGTGCGAAAAACTTTTTTTTTCTGCATTGTCCTTGAATTTTCTATGATACTAACAAAACGTGTTTTCACGCGACTTGGAACGTTTGTGCTGAGAAAAACTGGTACGAGATGAACTCCTGGAATGATGGAAGTTCAGAAACTTCTTTCTGAAGAATTTTGATTTCGTCACGGAGTAGAACCTGAAGGAAGAGGTGGTAGAGGAAAAACTGACAGTTTCTGGAGAAAGATCGTTTTTAGAGGCAATGGCGGAAATGTCTGTGTTGTTATGGACAAAATTCGATCAGTTACTTTTGTCGCTTTATCAGAAGTAATAGGAGAGAGGGATGTTAATATAATTTGAATAGGAACAGACCTGTCTTGATTAAATAGTTCAAATAGGAGTAAGTCGTCGATGTTGTGCTCCTCTGGTCGATGCTTTATAATACGTAGGAATTAGCTGGGCTTCTGATCACCGAGGCTGTCACCTGTTAGCAGCCGACGAATTTCTTGCATCTTTGTTTCAGAATATCTTTCGATAATTTTTTATTTCAGATCTTGATATGGGCTGATTTGATCAGGCTGAAAGATGACATCTCGAACAACAGTGCCTATATTAGGCGGCAAATGATCCACGACATAGTTAAAATCAGGGCTGTGGTGTCGGAGTCGGGCAGATTTTGTGGTAAAAGGAATCGGAGTTGGAGTCGCTAAAAACAGCTCGACTCTGACTCCAGTTTTTGTTGGATAGTTTGAATTTAAAAGGAAATTAAAATGAATTGAAAAAGAATTAATGACAAGCTGAGTTATTATTTTTGTTTATGAACTATATACATTAATAAATAGTTATTTTCTATTTTATTGACATGTAAATAAATAAATATAAGCGAGAAGGATTAACGTGGTATTTGCCCTTATTGATTAAACTGATTCATTTAGCTACAAATCTCACTGGTAAATTTAAGTAAGCAGCAATAGCAGCAAGAACTCCCAAAATTAATGCCATTCTTAGGAAACAAGCAGGAAAAGGAGCGATTATTGATCAAGCAACGCGATAAGGAAGTACATATTTGATGATAAAGAGGTATTTAGAATTATGAAATTTTTTAGAACATATAGATAACCCTAATGTTTCACTAACAGAAAGATTGTGGAATGATCTTTCAGAATTGGAAACTCTCCTTTCTACACCGTAAATAGCCACAAAAAAGCTGCAATCTGAAGAATTGACAGGAGGCGAGAATGGAAGAATGGGATATTTGTTCTTTCTGAAATGGAGGGTTTACTGCAGAAAGAATCATTTCTTCAATGAAGAAAAGAGAAACTAGTTTGCTGGACAATGAGATCTTGCTGGATTTAATATATGTAGATCCGAAACACCGAATTTTCTTGGATGACGAACAAATTAAAAAGGCAAAGTCATTTATGAACTTTCATTAAGAATGAAATTATTCTCAGAACAATTGGAGAATTCGAAGTAGGACAGTCAAACTGCAGACATTGCAACTGAGTCTCTATCATCCTCTTCCAGTGATGAATTAGATTTTGAGAAATATTTTTGGATAATATTGAAAAGGCAAAGACAAAGCGAATGAAAATAAAGAACCAAGAGCCTTTCGATATAAAAATGAAAAAAATACAAACAAGATTTCTACACGGCCTTCGAAGAAATAGAGAAATAAGATTGCGCTTGCAAGACACCTCTTTTTAGAACTTATAAAAATCTATCTTGAAAAGTTAAAAGAAGTATTCCTAAAAGTAATAGCTCTTCCTCTTATTCAAGTTGAGTGTGGACTGAAGTTTATCAAATCGAATCTATGGCCCTCCAACAAAGATCTTGCTGAAGCTATACTCTTTCTTAGAAATAACTAATGGCAGTTTTTCCATTTCATAGTCAATGCTAATTAGTAAAAATAATTTGCTATGCCATCAATTTTTTTCCTGTAGCATCTATTACTTCTTTTATATTAAAAACATAAGCTGTAACCCATGTATATATGTTTACATACATACACATACACACACACACTATATATATATATATATACATATGAGGGAGTCGGAGTTTAAAAAAAAAAAATTCCAGGAGTCGGTCCTTTTCCCTACCGACTCTACAGACCTGGTTAAAATTAGTCTTTTGTTAAGATATTGGTTTCAGGGTTGCTAATTCGAACGTCGATTCCAACATGTGAAAACAAAGAGATGGATCAATTTGGATAAAAAGTGGAATGTCCGCAGCGGTAGTTTCGGAATTAGCCAGGTTGCACACGTGTCAGCGGGAAGAATCAAGACCGAAAGTGTCCGTTGCTGTAAAATAGTTCAAGTCCGAAAATGCTGAATCGAGGTCACCAATGAAGAGTTGCATTAGTTGATCTGACTCCCGTATTTTAATGAAGCAGCGTGGAGCAGCATTAAGTATTAGAAATAATTGCACATACACAAATGAAATTTGTACCGGAATCACTTGTAGCAGCAGCTTTTCTTCCCCAGCAGCATTCACCAAAAATGACTGCTGAGGAGAGAGAGAAATTTGTGACTTAAAAACCATACACGTCATGTGCGCCTCTTGCTAATTGGCTGATGCGGAACGACTTTCGCATGCATGAATGAAATACTACAAAGCAAAAGCAGAATTCTTTTCTTTTAAAACATAAATATAATTTGAAATTCTTCAGTGTTAAACGTCCTATTTCACAGTATTTATGATACGTTATATTTTTTATTTGTAGCACACACCTTATATTTCATTAAATTCATAATGGATATAGATGGCCTCATAGTTCAGTATGAAACTTCATAACTTATTAACTTAAAAATCTATTTACACAACGACTTAGGAAAATTACATTTCAGCCACTTATAAGCATGTTTCGATCTCACAAACATGGATGCCATTTATTAGAAGATTTTTATTTTCAGGTAGTGGAAATTTCCAGCTCGACGCCTAATGTTTCATATATTGACTATAACTCTTGGTTTAGAACCGAAATTGTTTATCGTGTATCTATTTCGGTTTTTGTTGTTGTTGCTAATGTTAACTTGTCTGACGTATAGACAGCTCAAGCCTACGAAATTCCTCAGCGCAAGTTTACGCTCGTTGTTGGCAAGAGCGTTGAACACATTGAGAGTACGATTTAGCTCACTTCTGCCACCAGTTTTGATGGAGACAGTCTGAGGGTCTCCCACCTGTCTTTTCCTATCACCAATCTCCCGAGAGGGCTTTCAGCTGGACGCGTATTTAGAGTTCCCTATGCGCACGGACACTAGACATTTACAAACATCCGTGCCTCCTCCGGGATTCGAACTCGGGGCCTTCGGCATGGCAGTCAGAGACGCTAACCACTATACCTGTTGGGCGGCATTTCAGTTTGTTTGCTTCTCCATGCGAATTCATGTCATCTTGACAACTAACTAATGTCTCCTTTCTACTGTTACATATATATATCGCGCTACCAAATTTTGCTTTTCAGAATACTTGCTTTCTGAGGAACTAATTATCTTAAACCAGTTTCCATTGAGACAAGATTTTCTGCCACAGACAATGATAAAAGCCTTTCAGAAATGTTCCTCTTGCTATAATAAATGACCTTCAGCTATTAAAAATAATCCTAACTATCTCGTCATAACATTTCATTTCTTAAATTGCTCGGATTCTCCACAAAGTGAGTTTTCAATTAGCGTTTACGACCAACAATATGTTTTTTGTTCTGTACTTAAAGATCTCATTCCTGATCTTAAATCTTGTGGAATTTTAGATTAATATGTTTAACCGTGTATCTTGAGGAATTTTAGATTAATATATGCTTAATCATGTATCTTGTGGAATTTTTAATGGAATCTTGTTGAATGACATGGTTTGTCATGTCAGTGGTTTGACATATATCGACCAGACTCTGAAAGAGCAATTAAGCTTCTCGTGAGGGTGCATAAACCATATGTGTGGAAAGGAGAAATAAACAAAATTTTGTTAGCTAATTACAGTTGGACACTTAATCATTATTTTGACTTTCGATCCACAAATATTATCGTAAAGCTTCTTCAGTTGGAAAATCAGATTTATTTGAATCTTTCCACTTAACGAAAAGTTTTCTTCTTTACTTAATAACATTAATTTTTCAGCGCTTTCAAAATTCTAATATTTTAGTTTTTTCCCGTTTCATTACTATTTTCCTCGGTAGAACACATTTGCTTTCGTTTTTCTACACTCATTTCTTTCCATATAAAATCGTTTCCCTTCTATGTCTATAATTGCTCGCGAAAGTGATTTCAAAATATTCGCTAAAATAAGTCTACTTTTCTGTCCAATTTTAAAATCTATAGACTCTTTAGCTTACCCGCTTAACGACCGTACCCGAGATATCTCGGGAATAAATGCCGTTTCGATTTTCCTATGAACGAGTTAACTCGGACGCTGAAACTTGTATGGATATTTAATGCCATCCTCCTTAATATCGCGTGGCAATAGACACTCTGCCTTTAGCTGTGGGAGGGATCCACGCGGTTTTTGTGTTTGGTTCATCGACACTCTACCATACACACGTTTTGTTAGCTGTGGGAAAGGTCCAAGCGGCTTTTGTTGGTTCCTCCATGACCCCGAGCTGCAGTCGGCGACGTGGCCACACTATAAATAATCTGAAAATTCAGTTTGTTTTGTTAGTTGATGCAGATTACCATATTATTACGTTGTTGCAGATTGTGATGTGCCGCTATGTGTTACACCATGTTTCAGACTGTACCATACTGTCAATGACATCTATAGATCGCAAAATGTATTTATTTGATTTTTGCTTTAGCTCTTATTACTTATTATTACTTTAACTACAGTTTTGTATTACTTTTGTATTTGTTTTTTTTTTGGCTGCTTCATTGAAGCCCGAGTTAACTCGGGTAATGTCATGAACCATAATAAATATCTTGTCCCCCCCCCGAAAAATGTTCTTTTATTTTCGCTTTACAAAGCTACATCTAGTGAACTATTATATCTGTAGATAATAAAAATGTTGTAAAAATATTAAGGGATTTTCGGCTTAATTTTTAACATAAATTTTGTCATTAAGCAGTTAAATAAAGACAAAAATGTGGTGCTTATTCATAAACCTTCTCGTTCTGTTCTCAGGAAATCACTTTTTGCCAGATAAATATGAACAAATTTCACTAAAACATTGTCGCATGTTGTTTATCGACATACAAACCCTAAAAAAGGGTAAGTCTACTTTAAATCCATTGATTTTATTTTATAAATCTACGAACTAAATTTACTTCAAGTCCGAGCTGTTTTTTGAACACATTGCAATTTTATTTTCATATGAAAGATATATTTCTCCCTCCGCCTGAGGCGGCTGAGATTCACCGGAAGTCTCTGCAAATGAGATGGTGCCACAGGATGTCTTTACAAATATTTTTCTAGCTCCCTACAAGACAGATTGGACTCGCCTCAAGCTGTTGAGTGAAAACGAAAAATTGGGTAGAGATGTCCAATATCACGATACATACCTATTATCTACACGTCGAGTGGCAAACACTGGCCAGTTTCTTGGAAAATTTTAAGATGCACTAGATGAAGAGATCAGTAAACCATTCATATCTGGTAGAACACTATTGTCTTTAATCTAAAGAATTCCTTATTCAATTTTAATATGTTAACTTTCCCAAGGGGAAAAATGTTTAATAATATGTGCTTTTATGTGAGTAGTATCTTTTTTCTCATGATCTCTTTTGCCAGGGATTCTCACACTGGGAGGAATTCCTCTTAGGAGAGGGAATTTCATAGTTTCAGGGGAGGGATGCGGTCAGCATTTTTATTTATCGGTTGAGTATTTAATTTTAGTTTATGAATATAAAAACTTATTTTATTCACCGTTTTGGTATTTATTAACAGTTTTTGCAGTTTTCTTCGTTTAATTTATAAAACACGTTAAAAAAAATCTAAACTTAAATAAATACATACATATGTTTTGGGTTTTTCAAGGAAGAGGAATGTTTGTCTAGCAATGAAGAATTACATAGGGTAAAAAAGGTTGAGAACCACTATTTTATACCCGTTTTCAGGAATGTGAGTACCAGGCTGCGATTGGGAAAACCTGCCGCAAAGTGAAAGGATTTTTCTGTGAATTTCAGGAATCCTGAGTTTTTGAATTTTAAAGTTATCGTAAGTTCAAATAGGCAATCTCGTCAAAAACGAAACGATCTCTTTGCACAGTCCATGTAAAATTACTTATGAAGCAAATCGAAGAAAGTTGTAAACAGACCAGAGACAAAAATTTATAAAATTTTATTAGACAAAGGAGTTATTCAGGAAGATTTGATAACATTGCCACATAGCTTCTGAAAAGATTTCCTTTATAAAAAGGATTGCATTTTCAAAATATGAAAGACTTTAAAACATTTTTCTACGAAAAAGACTTTGAAATTATAACAGTTCGCTTACGGAAAACACTGTGATTTTATGTGCGCAGAAACATAAAAAACAAGTGTGTAAAACCTTTCATTCAGCAAAGATAAACAGAAGTTTGAATACAAAAATAATAGAGTAATAGAGGTTTTCCTTTTTTTTTTTTCTTGGAAAAGATTTCATATAAGGTAAGATTTTTCTTATATTTCCTAGAAAATAATTGTTATATGATATTTTTTAAAAACGTATTTCGTATGTCAGAAAAAAATGATCAGACATTATTATTATTCATATCCTAAAGTATTACACACTTCATTACAATTTCACCCACAGTTTCGAACATATTTTCTTTTACGTCTAGAATACATAGTTTTTGCATTTATTAAATATTTATTTTACACAAAGTCTTGAGGAAATTTGTTAACATTCAGTACACTTTTAATCTGTTCAAGGGAAAATGGTCTTTGAGTTATATTTCTCAGCTGAAAATTTAACAATTGAATAATGTCGGAGAGAGAAAACACATTACCGTTTAAAACTGGTTTTTTATTCTGTGTCTAGGAAATCTAACGCTCTTTTAGAAAATCTATTATTTTCTACGCCCTTCTTTTCTGTTTTACAGGAACTGTTTGCATAATTTCTTTTTTTTTACATCTTTCTCAAAAAGTTGTTCAGGCGGTTGTTTTTCAGAAGTCTCAATATGAGGAAATGTAACATACTTTTGTAGAACTTGGATGTACAATTCAGAATTTTCTTGATCGTCCGTTTTCTTTTTTAATATGTTTTGAAATTGTGTATTTAAATCATTCAAATGTTCATTTTCAAATTGCTGCGTACAATCCAGGGGTAGCAGAACGAATTTCTTACTGTGCTTCATAGATAAGGGATGATAAGACACTTACTGCTGCAGGAATCAGGAAAGAAGAAACCGTCACCTTTTTGAACCAAAAGAAGACCTTTCTTAAAAAGAGGTACTTTTTTGTCAGCTAGTTTTCTTATAGCTCTTTTAAAAGCTGCGAGTCGATTTTTCATACGTTTTATGATGGGCATTTTTGCTATTAGAATATTTAAAACACATTAATAAACTAATTTGATGAGATGATTCAGGCACTTTTTAGCACAGCTGTTTCTGTCCGAATTTTTCATAAAAGTTTTGAGTAATCCACATTTTTCCGATGGGACAGCATTCTGAATATGAATGAGATCTTCTTCTTGTAATTGTTTTTATATATGTGGCAAATTCAAACTCATTCAGACTCAAATTCAGACAAAACCCATTAGCAGGAATGATACCCGTTAAAGAACGTTTCTTTTTGAAGTTTTCTATCTTAGGATAATCCAAATTTATGACTATCATATAAATCATGAAAGTATATTATGTCTATAAATAACAGACTTTCTAAAAATAGTTACATTTCGAACCTTTTCCGGTTACACAGTATACAGACAGAGACAGGTTACAGACGACAAGTATTGCAAAATAATACGAAGATGAATGTAAGTTAACTCACCATCATTCCAACTCATGTGATGACAATTTCTTGTTACCTCGGCAAAACACTTTTGTTGCGGGATTGATAATTATTTCCAAGGTATTCATTGAGGTAAAAATGACCAGCAACTGTGATATCCTTCATGCAGCAGAAAATGATTAATTATTCAACAATGTAACTATGAGGCACTAGTTGAAAGCTTCGAAATCGATAGCGATTTGAGAAGACATGTTCATGATTTGACATCTCAAATTTAAATGAATTCACGGGGCTGGTAAACATAGTATTTATTTCTAGAAAAGATGCCAGGGCGAAGGCGAAACATTTCAGTTGTTTCAGGGAGTAAATCAATCAACAAATAACTGAAGGGAACTGAAGTAACATTCTGAAAAAATTCTTCAAAGGCCTTTACTTTTCCCAAGAACATTTGTCTAGCTAAACGCATAATTTGACTTTTATCTCTAGGAATTTTGAAGATGACAATGTAATAGGAATTTAAAATTTAAACGAATATTTTTAATATCTTTGCTTTGGTGAAGAGTATTTTGCGTTATAAAAATGAATGAAATATTTCGGTGATAAATTCCTTTTGTAAAAGATTTGCTTATGCAAGTATCGCTTGCTAGTTCAGCCATTTAATCGTCTGTAATAATTAAAGCATTTTGTAGAGTCTGCAGTTAAATGGTAATCCTTCAAAATTTACATTTTTCATTGAATTAAAAAAATTGATGACTTTCCTAACAATTGACAATATTGGTCTGCATAGAATGGAACATCTTATGATCTATCAATTTATGGCAGTTCCATCTTCTGAAGTGACAGAACCTTTGAGGAAACACTGCCTTTTATACTTTACAGAAAATCTGTAAACACCATTTAAGTGCATCTGCAACAAGAAGACATTCGCTCGTTGAATCCGCATTATATTGCGTAAGTTCTAAACAGTGAAACATGTTTTGAAAACATTTAGAGTTTTGAACACAATCACAAATTGCTTCTCTGCAATGTGTGGAATTTAAATAAAAATTTGGAAATTCGTGGCTTTTGATAAAACCTATTGAATCAATTAGTTTGATAAATTTTATACATTTAGGTGTTGTTTTATTTTTAAGACAGCTGAAATCTTATTTAGGTGTCCATTGCCGATGAGTCAAAATATGATAACCATTACACCAGTACTTGAAAAAATTTACAAGACTGAAAAACATAGCAACAATCTTTTGTCATCTTGGCTCTTCCATGTTAACTTTCATGATTCTTTACAAACTGTGCTCACATTATTTATAGAGAACATTTTGTACCCAAAATCTCAATTTTATTAAAAAAATATAGCTATATTAATGAAGCCCTATTTTGGTTAAATATGCATAGAAAACAGTACAAAGAAGTACAAGAAACAGAGACAATTTATTTTTTTAAACTTAAAACAACTTTATTTTTTAAAACCAAATTTAACCACATCTTTCCTTGATAAATTGAAATAGTCAGAAATCATTATTCTTTCTAGCTAAGGGGAATACAGTGAGTTTCATACAGAATCTTTGACATCGTTTTGATAATAAAATAAATACAATGTTGCTCACGCACATTAGGAGTTAAACTCTGAAGCAAAATCTTGTTCCAATGAATATGGCGATATTTTTTGATAAATGATATGATATCTGATCCATATACTTCAGGGGGAAGTTCATAAGAGAAAAAAAAATATTTTGTCTGCAATGTAGACTGCTATCCAATGAGTTCATTTTTCATCACGTTTGTCAACACAGAAACCCTCCAAATGTCTGTACTTTTTAGATGTTTACTTTCCTCTAATTTTTGAAATAAATGTTTTAGTTTATGTTTCTTCATTTTTTAGGCATTTCGCACATCGCAATGCAACTCCATACTTATATTACATACTTTCTTACAGCTAAATCGAATTTTTTGCTTTTTCTTTTGATTTTATGAATAATTTTTCTTAGTTCTTAAATAACTGAGTGTTTGTTTGGTTTGATAGATTATGGCAAAGCAAACTGCCTAAGAGGAGGAATGCATTCGTGAAGGACTTTCTAAAGAATACTGGCTTGTAATCGAGAAACCACGAAACGTTACACATCGAGAAACAACGAAAATGCCCATGCAGCCAGCCCGTTCGTCTGAAGTCGAATCCGAATCGTAACTACCAGTGTTCAGCGATTTTACCGCTCGGCCGCTGGTGGACCTAAATTATTGAAATTGGCTATATCCAAAATATCCGTTCATTTTACTTTATTCCTTTTGTAAATAACGTGTTTACTAAATAAACGTATATTACATGTGTAAAATAATATAGTTTGATTTGAAACTGACTACTCAGTGAAAAGCTTTAACTGAATTTAACGCAAAGAATTTTCGCTTGAACTCCTTCCTGTTCATAGAATATAAATTTGCAAACGCAGTCAAGCATTCTTAGCAAACTAGTTTCCATGTAAAAATTCACTATCATCTGAGTACTTCATACAAAAGACACCCATTAACGATTCCGACAAGTAATAGTCAAGTTTGTGAGAATGAATTCAGTTCATACATATGCAAGCGGGAAGAAATAGAATTTAAGTAGATAGCTCTTAACAAATTGATTAGCTCTCACGGTAGAATTAACTCGGACGAATTAATCAACGTAAATAGCATGCATGTACTTTTCCCATAGATTAATGTTTTCGAAATTTTTATTCGCCTTTTAGGAAGTTATAATACGTTTAAGCAAAATTTAGTTAGACATGGGAGATTTATAGAAAACCTTTATGCATTTTGAAAGAATTTACATTGGTCGTTCTTTTTCGTGGGGCCAAAATATTTTTAACCCATTTTGCAATAAATTAACAACAAAATCAAATTTAACTTCTTCATTTCGTTGTCCATCGTATATGATCTAAGTAAAGCATATGCCATATGCTAACCTATTACGTGTCATAAATAATTACAAATAATTATAAACAAGAAAATTTCATTTCAGCATAAAATTTTAACTTCCTTCCCGGCAACATGAGTTAGTTTGAATATGTTTTTCCAGTTGCATATCAAAACACTTTTTAATAGTTAAAAAAAATCTTTATTTATTACCTCAAAAGTGGCTATTATTTTCGAAATGGTATTTTGTGTTGGTTCACTATTAAAGTGCGTATCAGTTTTTAAATTATTGCCACCAAATATTATCTCCCTGTACTGTTTTTAAAGAAATTAAATAATGAAGAATCTGCATATGTTCCTCTTATAGTGAAAAAATGACGGTACCTAAAGACATCAAATTTTCGGATGGAGGTCAGTCAAAACCTCCATCCGAAAATGTGTACCTGGAAGCCCAAATTTTGAAGTTTTATTATCTATTTCGTATTTTGTAAAACTGTAATTTTTGATTAAAATCTCTATGATTTGAAAGCGAGCAGTGGCGACGCTATTCAAAATAATTTTTTTTTTCCTCCAGCCCCGAGACTGTTATCATTTGGAAAAACGTACGATATTTATCTTTCAGTTTTAATTACCAAACTCGCCTCTATGAATCCACTGCGTTGCCACTGCCTCAAATAGAATGCTTGTTATCTCTATGCACAAGTGAGCTGCCATTCAGTAAAGAGTAATATAGATATAATTTTCAAAATTCAATCTTCTTATTATCGAGTAGCAAAGGAAGCGACTAAAAAGTAATAAATGCAGATCTTAAAAATATTTTTTCTCCTTTTTAATATTTCGGGCGGCTGGCCGCTTGAGTGGTTAGATTTTAAAAGAAGCAGTAACGAATATAAAACATATATGGCAACCCTTAACACTCCATCAGGAACTCTAATGATATCATTAAGCCTTCAATTCTCCAACGAATCGAATAATGCTTTAAATTAAAATAAAATTGAAATGAAATACTTTTATCTTACACATGCCAGAGTGTTGCCATTCCGTAAAGCCTAAGCTGCCTTCAAATTTAATCTGGAAGGTTACTGAGTAATAAACTAAGCGATTTAAAAGCAATTAACACAGTTCTTAATATTTTTCTACTTTTTAATGTGATTGATTAAAAAAAAACTTGTGTTCAAATCTTACATAAGTATAAAAACGTACATGTAAAAACTGATTTTTATTTTATCCTCTAGATGGCAGCACTTTATCGTAAGTTTTAGAAGCGAATGACGTGCGAACTTTATTTAATCCGCATTAGTTATGTATTATTTCGTAATTTTGCAATTGAAATCGTAAACGACAGTTGCTCAAATACACATTTTATGAAGCAGAATTTCATTTTCAAAACACTGCTTTAAGAAATTGAATTATCCTCATATTCACATGGGTGATTTTTCAATGGAGTAACTATTTAATTTAGACAGTAGGATGAGAAAAATATATATTTACATAAGTAATAAATTTTTCAGCATCATCTTATACGCAATTTGTTTTCAAAATTCTTGGCTCAGTGGAATGTTCCTAAATGGACAACGATGGCCATCTCTTTCATTTAACTTTATTCATTTCATTTAATCTCAAATGTCCAACGGCTGTCCAAATAAAGTGACCAATGGCTTTGAACGATAAAGGAATGTTCAATTCAATGCGAGGAAGTTGTAATTATGCAAAGTTAAACTTAGTTTAATATAAAAGTAGTCTAACCTTTCTACTTGAAATTCGAGTTTTCGTTCTGGCCCTTATTACGATAACAGAGCACTAAACGCATACAATAGAAGTAAAGACAACTAAAATTTATTGTGGATTTAAAACATGCAAGGCTGAATTAACTAATACAAATCTACTTTGCTACTGGCGGAAATAAGCAACAATATAAAATTCAAATTATCAAATTCAAAATTTAAATTAACCTAACGCTTGGGTCGGTTATTATCACGAATTACTATTTACATAGCAGTCACCTGTAAACCGGAAGCTCACTAATTGTAGATGTCGCTCATGTTGGAAACAAGGTTGAATGGCGTTATCAGTATTCCCTCTAATAACTTAGATTATTATGCTATTTAAAACTTCTCGCGTTTACATATTCTGGTGGAATCGACGAAACAGTAGGATCTATAGGATAGACTTTAATGTAAAAAAAACGTGTTAATTAAAATAAAACTTACAACTGGAGTATAATAAGTTGCTTATTCTTTACCACTTTCAGTGAAAAACTTTAGGGAAATTAGAAAAAAGGAAGGCTGGATTTTTGAAAGGCTACTTGATATTTGGGCAGGGGGCGCCAGCGTGGATAATACTTTTGTGATTGTAATTGCAAAGAAATAGATTGGTAATATATAACACCCTTCCCTCTGTTTCGATTGTATGTCTCTCGAAGGGCATCATTTTTTATGGTAAAATATTACCATAAAATAGCTTTACTTTAAGTTCAGCATTACAGAAATGGTTGCAGTCGAATGATGAATTTAAGAGTTATGAATCTTGCCAAACATGCTTCAGTATGCATTTGATAGACAGGAACTGTAGTGAGTGTCCATAGATAGAGCAAAAATAAATCCCCTATACCTGAAAAGAATTGCGAATGTTCAAAGAAAGGAACATTACCTCACATCTCATACACCTCCAATGTGAAACTGCTTTGACCATACTCATCGCAATATACAAGTTTTCTATTTCTGCTACAGTATCTGAAGGAACATACCGACACAGAAATAGACAGGTGAAACCGTAACTAACTAAATAATTTTCAAGCTGAAAAAATACTCTTAAGGGCTAGTTAAATTCAAGATTTTTAGTGATCGTACAAGTGGGAATTGCGTTGTGTTTTTTATGCATCCGGGACAGTGCCGTGAGAGGATCGGATAACAAGAGGTAAATACAATTTATAAAGGAAAAACATAAAAATAGGTTTCCAGATTAAAATACAAGTTTATTCAGATTACTCAAAATTTTTAATTAAATTTCATATCCTAGGTAATTAGTGCTGGCATTCACTAATTTCAGTTACACATCTGAACTAATCAATTTATATCATTTACACATTTAAATTAAGGATTACTGAACTAAGGATAATTTCACAAAAACGAACTATATTGTTACACCATAATTAACTTATTAAGATTTTCCATTTTAGTCTCTGTAAAGAAAAAAATCAGAAGGGAGCGAATTTTCAGGCATTTAGAATTAATTTAGAGTTTACATAAGAAACATAATGTTCTAATAACTACACTCATGTCCATAAATTAAGGATAATTCGGAGTCACGCGGAAATCAAACTCTAAAATAAATATATCACCTATAAAATCACTACACATATCTTCAAGAATCATATGCAAATTTCAGAAAGTAACCAGATGACACAGATGGTACGTCACAATGACGAGAGTGTAAGAGAGTGATATATAAGGAATACAGGCAAAGAAGTAAAATTGTTCGCAGGCGCTTTATAAGCATTTCAGTGCAATAACCGAATAGTTATGACACAAAGGATGCATTTGGATGATTTTTTACGTGGTAGAATTATCGGCCGTCTGGAATGTGAGCGTACCCAACTGGAAGTATCAAACGAACTTGGAATCGCCCAGAGTGTCATCTCCAGGCTTTGACAACGATTCCAAGATGATGATAATGTGAGTAGACGTTACAGCACAGGTCGCCCCAGAGTTACGACGCCGAATGAGGACCGGTAGTTGGCAGTTACTGCCAAAAGAAACAGGCGGAGCACAGGCTCAGACCTGTCTCGTCAGCTCTCTTCAGCCACTGGTACGACAATTTCAAGGCAGACCGTGTACAGATGCTTAGGGCAGCTTGGTCTACATGCTCGTAGACCTGTCAGATGCGTTCCACTTACTGAAACTCACTGTCGCCTGCGGTTAGCCTGGAGTAGAGAGCATGCATTGTGGACACCGCAACAGTGGGCTTGCTTGATGTTTTCGAACGAGTCCAGGTTTAGCTTGCAGTCTCATTCTCGCCGGACTTTCATGTGGAGAGATCCAGATACCCGTTACCACCAAGAAAACATCATTGAACGACACCGTTACGGTGGTGCAGGAGTACTCGTTTGGGGTGGAAAATTGAAAATTCTGGGTTCCAGAACTGACCTGCATGTTCAAATTGGAAGCATGACAAGTCAAATCTATCGGGACGTCATTCTGGAACAACATGTATGTTTGTTTCGAGGCGCCATGGGCGCACAATTTGTGTTTATGGATGAAACGCCCGTCCTCACCGTGCAAACATCGTAAGAGAATGTCTTCAATCAGAGGATATCACCCGTAAGGACTGGCCAGCATTCTCACCGGGCTTGAATCCA